TAAATATTTCCCAATAGATACATGTATCACATCATCATATTGTACACTTTAAACTTATACAATGGTAGGGGTGCCTGGGTGGCTCTATCAGTTAAACGTCCGACTTCAGCTCAGGTCATGATCTCGCAGTCCGTGAGTTCGAGCCCCATGTCAGGCTCTGTGCTAACACCTCAGAGCCTGGAGCTCAGATTCTGTGCCTCCCTCTCTCTCTGCTCCTCCCCCGTTCATGCTCTGTCTCTCTCTGTCTCAAAAATAAACAAACGTTAAAAAAATTAAACTTATACAATGGTATATGTCAATTATATCTCAACAAAAGAAATAGCAGATGCATTAGTACTCTCTAGAAGTAATCGTGTAACAGTAGCAATGCGTGTATTTTCATTCACTGTGTGTTCTTGTTTCATTTTGTTTTGAATTTCCAAATCACTTAACTCTAGACCACATAAAATGTAATTACCATATAATACCCAAGGACTTCAAAGAATTCTACCAAAGAGAGGGGGAGAAAAAAAAAATTAATGAAAAACTAATCTAGCTGAATTAGAAAATCATTTATTAAACATGTGTTATCAGCCCAGCACTTTGTTAGAGGCTGGACCAGAAGGAAAACCAGAAAGGATAAGACATGGTATCTGGGGGCACCTCAGTGGCTCAGTAGGTTAAGTGGCCAACTTCAGTTTAGGTTACGATCTCACAGTTTTTGAGTTCTAGCCCTGCATCAGGCTCTGTGCTGACAGCTCAGAACCTGGAGCCTGCTTCTGATTCTGTGTCTTTGTCTTTCTCTGCTCTTCCTCCAGCCTGTCTCTCTCTCTCTCTCTCTCTCTCTCTCTCTCTCTCTCTCTCTCTCAAAAATAAATAAACATTAAAAAAAAAAAAAAAGACATGGTCTCTGGCCTCAAGGAGCTTTTAGGTCTGACACCAAGACTAAGAGTAGTTAAATGCTGAAAAACAAACATTTTCAAGGACAACATATAGTAAAGCATCATAATTGAAGACACAAGAGTTAGAGTCCAAGGAAAAGAGAGAAGAGATGAAAAGAAGCTCATCATCTAATGTGAGCTGAGTATTCAGAGAGGGTTCCATGGAAGAGAGAGCTTGAGTGAGCCTCCCAGAGAGAGAAGCTTTAGATAACTGGAGAGGATGCTCTGAGTTGAAACCATCTTCCACAAAGCTTAGAAGATTTCTATTGGATTGGATAGTGAAGTTGAAACCCTACTGTGAATCCCAAGTCCTAGGATAATCCTCTACCCAGTGTCCACCAAATGTTCAACCAGAGCAGAGCACAAGAAAAGCTAAGATGGATAATTTACAGATGATACTGGAGAAAAGGAGATTAAAAGGCTACTGAAAGGGTGCCTGGGTGGCTCAGCTAGTTAAGCTCTTGACTTCAGCTCAGGTCATGATCTCATGGTCGGTGAGTTCAAGTCCCGCATTGGGCTCTGTGCTGACAGTGTGGAGCCTGCTTGGGATTCTGTCTCCCTCTCTCTCTGCCCCTCCCCTGCTTGCTCTCTATCTCTCTCTCAAAATAAATAAAAATACATTTTTTTAAAAAAGCCATTACTGAAATAATCATGAGCCTAGGTATTCATAACTAGAGTGGTGATGGGGTTACAAACAAAAATAAACAAACAAAAAAACATCAGGTGGAGAGAGAGGACCTTTCTAAAGAAACAAATGCTAAGTTGCAGTGATGGATGATGGATCATAAACTCGGTTGCTAAAAGACTCCCCAATGGCTGGGACCTTTCTCATACTTCTGAACTCTTCTGAGGAAAAACAGAGTTTTGTTGACTTTGGAGGCAGACTCCAGCAGATTTGAAATGCCTCTCTCATGGCCTCTTCACTATTTATGCCTGTTTTCTCTGTTTCTATGAAATTCATTAGTTCCTTGTCAGCCAGGGAATGTGTCAGCCTGATCTGGGAACATCTAAAACTATCTTTAATGAGGAAAGAGGATTAACTGAGGTCATTTCATTGGTTTATTAACCACAGTATTTAGCTGACCACCACAGCCTCAATCTAGACACTGAGCAGATGATACCTACTTTGCCTATTGATGAATCAGTGTTCTTTATTATGTGCAAGGAAATATGTAGGCCAGGGTGTTCTTCATTCAGGGTGAAGACAGACCATCCATCATCAAATTAGTGTTTCTGGGAACCTACTTTGTGCTTATTTTCTAACAGGGGTTGTCAAGAAAATATCCTTGAAGAGGAAGAATAAGAAATGACTGTGAATAACTGGTCGTGTTTTCTAAAGAAAAAAGGGTGGTTGGGATAAATGTTTGAGTGAATGGTAGATTTGGAATTTTCCCAATGAACTGAAGGCTAGATAGAAAACGTTTTCACGTTCAAGGAGGCAGAATGCAATGAGAGACCTCAAGGACATTCTTTGCATGAGTCTGGACTTTGCACGCACTGAATCACTAACTCCTCACATCAACCACATGCTGAAGGCATTAATGTCCTTATTTGCGGAGGAAAAAGCCAACCTCAAAGTGGTAAAAGAATAGCCAGTGGGGAGTTCAGCCATAATTCAAACCCAGTTCTATTGGACTTCCCACTACACTAAACTCCCATGACACACCAGAAAGAACATGAGGTTTTGCTTGTTGCTTTGTTGGTTGTTTCTTTGTTTGTTTTTACCAGAAGACTTAGATTCAACTCCAGATTTTACTAATTGCTGCGCCCTGAAAGCCAGGATGTATATATATATCCTCTGAGCCTGTTTCTTTATCTATAAACTAAGACTGTTAATAATAAAACATACCTCGGGGCTCCTGGGTGGCTCAGTCGGTTGACCGTCCGACTTCACCTCAGGTCATAATCTCACAGTTCGTGAGTTTGAGCCCTGCGTCGGGCTCTGTGCTGACAGCTCGGGATCTGGAGCCTGCTTCGGATTCTGTGTCTCCCTCTCTCTCTTCTCCTCCCCTGCTCACACTCTATTTCTCTCTCAGAAATAAATAATGATTTTTAAAAATTTTTAAAAATAAAATAAAATAATAAAACATACCTCCCCAGATTTGAGAAAGGATCAAATTACATTTGAGAGTTCTTTGTAAACTGTAGAATAAAGTAGATGTTAAAGGAAGTCTTATTATTTCTTTTATTTTGGTTCTGGTGGGACAAGAACAGGTTTTCAACCCTAAGATAGATTGTAAGGGTTATTTTATGCAGCTGTCCTAGGCATCCCCTAATGACAGTAAATTAGACAGATACAAATTTCAGTCAATGGACTCTTGTTTGACACTAGGAATCTTCTACCAATGATCAAGCTCAGAAGATAGCAGAAAATGTCCCCATGCACACCAGTGGTGATTTCTAGATGTATTTTTTAACATTACTTAAAAAAAAAATTTTTTTAACATTTACTCATTTTTGAGAGTTAGAGAGACAGAGCATGAACAGGGGAGGGGCAGAGAGAGAGGGAGACTCAGAATCCAAAGTAGGCTCCAGGCTCCGAGCTGTCAGCACAGGGCCCAACGCAGGGCCTAAACTCACGAACTGTGAGATCATGACCTGAGCTGAAGTCAGACGCTTAACCGACTGAGCCACCCAGGCACCCCTTAACATTACTTTTAATTTGTGATTAAAATATAAACTAAATTGTGTATTTTTAAAAATTTTTTATTAAGATACATTCTTATATATTTTAAATAATGTTGACGATATAACTATTATAATCATCTTATAATTCTTGCATTAATGAGTGATTAATAGTTCTGGGCACCATTCTAAGCTTTCATTATTTTACTGGTTTTTATACAATTTAATTATCCCTATTTTAAAGTTGAGGAAACTGAGGCTCAAAAAGTTAAAATACCTTCCCCGGCCAGACACTTATTCCAAAGTCCATGACTAATAATTCCAGAGGCAGAATATGAGGAAATGTCTTGAGGGATCCAACCTAGACCAGACCAAGAACAGCCGCCCAATCCAGAGAACAGCAAAGATGCAATTGGCCAACTCAAAGAAAATTATTTCTGCCAAGATCAACATTCTAATAGAAGAGATAGACAATAAACAAACAGAGAGAGGATGGGACAGGACAGGACAGAACCAAACAGAACGAATAGAATAAATCACATTAGGACCTGTCTATAGTCCACTGCTAAGAAGAGCCATCAGGGAGCAGTTCAGAGGAAAGCATCATGCTCAGTGGTCTTTGCTCATTTAAATATAAATAATACTTGGGGCGCCTGGGTGGCTCAGTGGGTTGAGAGTCAGACTTCGGCTCAGGTCATGATCTCACGATCCATGAGTTCGAGCCCCATGTCGGGCTCTGTGCTGACAGCTCAGAGCCTGAAGCCTGCTTTGGATTTTGTGTCCCCCCCACCCATCTCTGTCCCTCCCCTGCTCATGCTCTCTTTCTCTCTTAAAAATAATAAACATTAAAAAAATATATATGAATACTACTTGGCAGCTTCAACAGAGATAACAGGTATCCAGCAGACACAAATTCTAATGGGCTGGTAGTGATGTTTACAACATGACCCGGGGACCATCTCTGGCCTCTTTGAGAAAGAATCCACAATCGCTACCACAGCCCACACCAGTAGAGAAGAGTAGAAGGACAACATGCATGAGATGACCTTTAATACCTATAAAAGATACTTAAAAGCTTTTCTTGACACCAGTGGTGTAGATCCCCCAAATTCAAGGAACATATTTAGGAAACAATCTGAGCCTCACTTAAAATAATCTCTTCTTCCTTACTCTATAATGTAGTGTAGTGGTTAAATGCATGGTTTCAAGCAACCCTGGGCAAGTGACTCACCATCTCTATGCCTCAGTTTCTTCTTCTGTAAAATGGGCTGTTGTGAGCATTAAATGAATTGCTACTGGTAAAATGTTTGGAGGCGTGCCTGAAACATGATAAATGATGTGTGTGTGTGTGTGTGTGTGTGCACGCGCGCATGCGTGTGTGTGATTATTGTTATTGTTGCATTCTAGTTAATTTTTTGCATATCTGACTGTCTCAACAGGATCTCCCTGAGGTTAAAAGGTCACTTCTCTAAATCTTCTATATTCCCAAGCGCATATCTGTATCTGACATATATGAGCTCACAATTAGGAGCTCATAAGTGAGTTCTTGATCTTTGCTGATGCTCTGTTCTACCTTTAAAACTCCTCTCTGCAACCACCAACGTCCACCTACCCTTAACATGGAAAGCACCTTGGCATTGATACATATAACACGTAAGTACCAGAGCACATCCTGTGATGATAAGCACTCCCATCTCAACTATACAGATTTAGACTCTGAGCCTTGAGAAACGTGATGCTTTACCTGTAATCACACAGCAAGCTGGAGGGAGTCACAGCAAATACATTTCCAGAAAAGCATCAAAATGGGCTGTTTGAAACCTGCCTGTTTAGGAACGTGTTTGGCTACTTCCATAAGATAAAAATAAACCAGAAAAATTAGAAATCGATTTTCGCAGGCACTCCACCTGTTTTAAAAATTGGCTTTTAAAGTGTTATGGCCCCAAAGAACAAGCTTAAATTGCTTTAGGAAGCCTAAAGTGTCAAAATATTAGCATTTTGTTTTTACACGGAAGTCATTTGAGCTAATAGATTTGTTTTCTCTTTTTTGTTTTTTCTTTCTTCTTTTCAAAACCTACCACGCACCCAACCCAATCGCAGGAGTCCTGGAAAAGGAACGGGCCAGACGCCTCATTCACAACTACAATCTCATTTACAACCTGTCCCTGAGCCCTCGGAAAATCGACCAAGCCTTGAGGAGATTCCGTGCGGGAGAAAATATGCTCTTGGAGCCAGCACTCCAGTACTTAAAGGAGCTATGATAACAAACCCATATTGTGAGAACAGATGTTTCCTTTTTCTTCCTTTCTACCCAGACACGTGTTTCTCCCCAGCCCATGCATAGTGGTGGAGACACTGTCACAGAGTCAAGGCTGATGCAGCAACTGAAGATGCTTTGGACTTGGGCTTCATTTCTAGCTATGATACTCCCTGATAGGCAGCTCAGAGTGACCCGAGAAAACCAGGTCTCCTCTCCTGAGGTGGCAAGAACCCAATTTCTTAAAACCCCCTTTTATTCCAGTAAAGCTCCTTATGAACATTACACGATTATTTTTTTCTACCTTGCTGAGGAAACTTTGCTTTTGCAAACCCTGCAATTCCATAGAGTAAAAAATATGCTAGATATTGTTGTCAACTCCCTCAAATGCCTGTCACATAAGAGACCTAACTATATCATTTTTGGATGTGTGATCCGCCTCTAGTCACTGTTCTAGGAAGGATTTCCACATTATAAGAAAAATAAAATTATTAACAATATGTTAATACTAAGGGTAGGAGCAGAATTCCAAGCAAGGTTTTCTGAACAAGTGAGATATTTTCTCTAGTACAAAAGTAGATGCTGTTACACTGTCCTTTTCCCAGAGTATAGGACAGAAGTTTCAATGAGTGACAAAGGGTTCTGAACTAAGTAACATCTTCTTTGCTCCCTCTGGCAGGAAAATCAAGCAAAAGTTTCCACCAGTCCCCATAGTTCTTCTGTCTAACTTTGCACCTCCCCCAGAACACACACACACACACACACACACACACACACACACACACACACACACATCACACCACACAGGTAGCATGAGCTCACCGAAGGAATGCTAGCCTAGGACTTCAGAGACAAATGTGTTCCCAGAACCATCATTAGCGTTGCGTGACCTGGATTCTGGTTTTCAAAACTGTGCAGGAGACAGGATGCAGGAGTTAGGTCAAGGGGAAAAGTAAAAAAGATCCCTGAGTATCCCTTTTTATCCGTTTTATACAGGGTGGGGGGGGGAATATTTCATAAAATCTTACAAACAAGGTCTTAAGAATAAAATAGTTTTGATTCACTAACATAAATGATCTCTAAGGGCTTCACGTGTGAGCCTGCTTTAGTTTTTATAATCCTTGAGTAACCTCCAAAAATGCCTCTTAAAGCAGACTGGACCACCTCTCTAACTAACATTCTAGAACCCTTGGACCCACTAGCCTTTTAGGTCAGAGAAGTAAGCAAACAAACATGGCTTTCTCAGACTACCAAAATGCCAAATGAGGAAAGTTAGAATATTAGATCAGACAATTCAGTCTACGTTGGGCAGCTAATGTGTGCTGGGACCTGGAAATATTTTGTTTCAACCATCGCTGACAACTCAATATGGCAGGTTTTACAACTCCATTTCACAGATGAAGAGAGAGAGGCTCAAAGAAGTAAAGGGTAGAAGAGTTGTTGAGACTGCTTGCCTGTTGATAACTGGCCAGAGGGATAGAGCCTTCTGGAGAACACTAAGAATGCCCTTTCCACTCTACATCTCTGTGGGGAAATGAACTGGAGAGAGGGCTGGATGAAGGGAGGCCCTAAACATGAGGGCAGGATTATTAGACTCAGTCGTGGGGTCCTGAAGAGCAGTGATCCTGCCCTACCCAATTCTTTGTGTGTGACATCTAGACTAGCTCCTCAGGAATAGCCTCAGCACCCAGCAACTCACACAGCTGGAGGGGACTCCGTGGACCTGGAATGCAGCAGAAAGGTGCCCCAGGGCTATGTGCATACCTTGTACTCCTGAAGAGCTCACTGACGGAATGCTTCTATACGTGGGTAGCAATGGCCAGATCTGGATCCACAATCACCCCACCACCACTACCCACCCTTCGATAGAGAGCAGAAAAAGAATAGGCTTTAAATCAGCCAAAATCCATCTCCGTCACTTAGTAGGTGGTAGCTTTAGAAAGTTTTTAATCTCCCTGAGCTTCAGTTCCTTCAACTGTAAAACAGGAATAATAAAAACACTGAGTGTTTCACAGAAGTGTTATAAACGCTGAGAGTCATGTCATTTGGACAGTTCCTTGCACGTGGTAGAGATGGACCTTTCTTACGTCCCTTCCCTTAGCTGCTGAGCATCAGGATGCTTGAACAACCGACTGTGTGACATGACACAGGGACATAACGTTACCCCTATAGCAAAAACAAATTTTGAGATAGATCTGCCTTCTAGAACCAGGGGACAATTGTTTCTGGATCATCTCCTGTCTGGAATTGTCCACTACTTTACCCCAAGGTGTGTGTGTGTGTGTGTGTGTGTGTGTGTGTGCGCGCACGTGCGCGAATTTGCAAGACTTCCACTTTGCAAAAGCAAATACTCACTAGGTTTTCTCGGAGTAAACATTAAAAGAAGCAAAATTCAACTCAATTCATAGAGAAAAGCTAAGATATCAAGGTGACAGTGTGACAGCAGATGTCAAATGAGGCCTTGCCATGAGGCAAACCATTGAACACAAACAGGAAAATGCTATGAGGTCATTATGTGTTAGAATATTGGTTTGACCTCTGTGCTAGGACTTCCCCATGGTTTACTTATGGAAAATCTGTTACCTTTCTCTCTTTTTTCCCCCTTAAGGTCAGTGATGTTTTGTATATTCCCTGTGACTGTGAACTTCTAACCCTGAGTAGAGAAACTCTGCTGTCTGTGGTCTTGACCAGCTTTCTCTAGCAGAACCTTTTTACATGGGTGTCTGTGTGCAGTGGCCTGGTTAAACTCCAGTATGCCCTGGAGAGACTCTAGGTCAACTGTATCTGCCACAACTGTCTGAAAGCCTTAGCTTCTAAAATGGGTCACTGAAGACACGATAGAAGCTGAATCTCACCAGTTGGACAGATTCCTTCACAGATGTGTGACCCTGAGCAATTCACTATCTCCCTCACAGAGTCATTCATGTTAAAGGAGATAATGGTACAAATTGCCCAGCTCTGTATCTGTCACGTAGACATGCTCCGTAAGGGAAAACTGGCTTCCTATCTTATTCTTATACAGTATTTCCATTTACCCCATTCAATGGACCAAACCATTAAATTCCTTTTCCAAGTACAGACCACTTCCAAGCCAACAGGTGGCTCCCTGATTGTGTGGTCCTGGAAGGCAGAAACCGTGCCCTACACATTCTTATTCTTGATTCTTCCACCTGCCCTGACTCCTCATAGTAACCTAACTATGCTGGCATTACTACTATGCCCATTGTGCAGATAAGAAACTGAGACTCATGGTGGTAAAAGGTGCTTTCCTAAGGACCAACAGCTAGTGAGTGACTGAGTCAGGATTAGAATCCAGTGCACAACTTCAAGCCCAACAGTGCCTTGCAGGTCACCATTAGAGCGAATTTTCTCTAGTATGTGTGGTCTGTCTCCCCAGCAAGTCTGGAGGTCACTTCCAGAAAGGGCTAAGGTCTTCCTCACCTTCATCTCCAGCACAGAACCCAGATTCACCCCCAGGTGGGCACCTGGAAAACATTTGTAGAATGGAGCCCCCGCATGAAACGTTTGAAGCCCTGGGGCTTTCTGCCCTCTTCCAGCTCTGCCAGCTTCATCACTACCTTTTGGGGACTGAAATGAAGGGTGTTTTCAGGACTCTTGGCATCCTGTGTTCACACAAGCAGAAACACAACTGTATAGATCACGCAATCCAAAGAGTTTGCTAAGTGCTAGCTGACTCTTCAGAGGAATTTCCCAAGATCATTAAGAGAAACAATACGGGGTTTGATATTCTAATTGGGATCAGCAACTGGACGGCTTTGGAGCTGGCCAGAGAACTGTGAAGCTCTGCAAACAAATGCTGGCCTTTCTTCTCTCTCTCTCCTTGTCTCCCCCTTCATTAGAGCCTCTCAGCTACAGTTCCAACGCTCCTTAGCAACAAAGGCCGGGGTTCCCAGAGCTGGGGGGCCTCAGGAATGCCAGCCACTCCTCTCATTAGCATTCAGGGCCCCTCATCTGCCTGCACAGTTAGCTGTGGGACCATGCAAAAGGCAGTGGCTTGGGGGAGGCCCAGCATTTAGCGTGGCTTGTTGGGAAATGGGAAACCTCCACAAAGAGTTTCCAAACAAAAGGCATCAATATTATTTGTGGAGCCATCAGACTGCCTGGAGCACAATATGGCTCTGGCTCAGCCACATGCTTTCTCTCCAGGTTCTGTGCGAAGGCTTGGTGGGGACTTCCTAGACACAGCATGGCCCTGAATGCCAATACATTGGAAGGTCTCCCTCCTCCTCCCCTGTCTGCTGTCCAGTCTCTCCTCGGACTCAGTTTATCCAGGTTGGGCAATGGGTAGACTCTTAACTGGCAGTGAGAGTGCCCAGAGGAGGGGAGTTGATGGAGGATAAATGGTCAGATGGTAGGACAATTCGAAACAGATGGTGCCGCTAGGAATGCACTCCAGACAAATTCACAAGCAGATTGAGCTCTGACGAAGACTTAGCCGTTGGAGAACAGTTGGTGCCTTGTACCAAGCCCTTGCTCAAAACACACATCCTGCTCTCCCATACAATCTTGAACAGTTCCATGAGGGAACCCCTACCCAGGTCCTGTCTCACTGGAATTCCAAAGTACTGATCAATAGGCCAATCCCTGGAAGATTCCAACCAGCAAAACTATTTCTCAACATTCTCATGTTGTCTCTGAGCAGAGTTTCTTTCAGACTCCTTACGTTTGAACACCTCCAGGGATGTGGACCTCACTACTTTTCATCTCTAAGACAATTCCTGCTCCAAAAAGCTCCAATTTGTTCATCTAAAATTGGTCTCCACTTTAGGCTCCTTTCTACCCTCCCTTGTGGCCAAAGAGGATGTAAAGTTTGATCAGTCAATGCAACAACACCTGCACTAACCCTGTGCCTGGCTCTTCTAGGCATCAGGGATTTAAAAACAAACCGAAAAACAAACAAAAAAGGGAAAGATAGAAAGAAAGAATCTCTCTTCCAGACCTGATTCGAGTTGGGGAGAGAGCTCAGGAAGGTGCCCTTACTTA